GGAAGGATTTAAATAAAATTTAAATCAGAAACGTACTACATATATTTACAGAGATTATTTCAAGAAACTAAATCAGCAACAATATCCTGTTAACCCCTCAATATATGTGGGGTTCTCCATACACACATCTTCTGCACCCCCTGCCCATCCTTTCATTTCTCCATGCAAAATTCAAGGAAGAATTATGCACTGTCTTTTGTTAACACAGAAATAGAAGCTTTCTGTGGGATAGAAATTTTACCCTCCTTTCCCCAAGAGAGGTAGAACCTCAATGAACTATCAACAAGGATGGATGGCCTGCAAGTTCAGAATATTTTGCTACAGTAATTTTTATGCCGGAATTAATTCAAGTAGGAGCCCCTGGGTGGTGCAAAATGTGAACTGTACTCAACTGCTTTCAGAAAAATTGGAGGGACAAGCTCACTCCGAGGTGCTATGGAAGAAAGGTTTGCTGAGCTACTATGTACAACTGGGTCACCTGAAAACAAGTTGTCCTCTGACAACATATGGAGTTGTCATCGGTCCGAATGGCAACTAACAATAACACCATCTTCTGTAACTATGATGGAATTATCTGAATCTTGGATTTGTAGGGAAGTGGTGTGCGATTGCCTACTATGATTTTAACTTTGTGCTTCCCTAACTCTGCCTCCCTGGTTTCAGGTTGAGGTTTGCTGCTGGCATGCCTACACCGACTGAGAAGTTGGCAAAAGGGCCTTATTACTGTTGTCTAAGGTTGAATATCCAAATTTAGTTAAATATATGTATATATATATACATACATGAAGGATAAGGAATGGAGCTAGGAAAATGACTGGAGGACAAACTAGAGGTCAATTGGTTCTGAAACCATGGAAACCCACGGCATGAAGAATTGTATGCATGTCACCAGTGATTGGAAGGATTTGCCTCCCAATCATCTTTTATTCAACTCCTCCTTCAAGGTTTCTTTAAACACCCATTGTGTGTTCACCTATAAGCAGAATATGAAGATTTCTGCTATTAGTTTGTCTTCAAAGAAGAAGCCTGTGTTAATTAAATTGCTAACAGTCTAAAACAAGTGAACAGAGATTTAAGGGGTCAGTGCATTACTAGAAAAGCAGAAGTGGGCGTAATCAGCATAAAAGTAGTTAAATTGTGAAATCATGCTAAGTGGGGGTGTAATGTAATAATAACATGTTGCACATACGGAGCGCCTTTGGTCTGTGCACCTCAAAGTACTTTGCAGACGTTAATTATGCACTGCACGAGGAGGCAGAGAGGGCGGGCGGCGGCGGCAGGTAGGGCTTGGACATTGCAGCCTGATCTAGCGCTGCACTTTGGACCTGATACATCAGAGTCTCTAGCCTTCTAAGGTCGAATCCACCCCGAGGTTGAGTGGTGGTGTGATTGAGGTTGTGGTTAAGTCTCCAAACTGGTGATGAAGCCCTTCCTGCAGTCCAATCAAACTGGGTCGCCCGGTTTTCCCTCCGGAACTCACTTCCGGGATGCCTCCCCGGCTGGCACCGGAGGATGCATGGAATTGTTTGGAATTTGGGTTAAGGTTGGGCGTGGGCGCCGACAGGCGCGGTGGCCGGGCCGGGCGTCTGCCGGCTCCTAGCCGCACCGAGGCGGCTGGCCCAGACGG